AGTATACAAATTACAAGATGATTCTTTTATTATGATCCATTACCATTATTATAATCGATTTATTACACTTCCCTACTATTTCTCCAGTTTAAATTTTAAACAGTTATTAAGTGTTATAAATAATAAACGATGAATCCGATATAAGTGTTATGTGTATCAACATTTTTAGAAAAATATTCATTTTTTCGAATTTATATTGAAAAGCAAGGATTTCCAATAGAAAATCAAGTTAATAGGTAATTTAATGAATACAATTTTGAAAATTATGTTAAAATAAAGCTTTAAAAATAGAAGTGCTACTGAGGACGAGTGTGCCACTGGTGTTGGGGAGGAGTTGGAAAGGTTATGAAATTTATACCTGTAAGCAACGATAAACTATTGCTAACGAAAAATGATTCTGAACGCAGTTCAGTTATACATATTTTAAATAAAGGCCATAATATTTATAAATTTTATCAAAATTTGATATGAATACTTATAAAAAAAAAAATATATACTACATTAAAGGACGCCCTTCCTGCTTTAACTATCCTTATTCCAATATCTTGTGACCAGTTATTTTTTGTATTTATACATATACTAAGGTATTTAAACTCATTAACTTTCTCATATATCCAGTCATCAAGGTCAGGGTCCGTTAAATCTTCGTCCGTATCTAATAGCTCTATGATCTCTGTCTTTTCTGCTTTTATTTTCAGTACTATTTTATCTGCTAATTTTTCTAAAACTTTCAATGTTTTCTCTATATAATCTCTGGTATTGCCTATGATGTTAAGATCATTAGCAAAACCCAGGATTTGAATTTTTCGCTGGTTTATTTCTACGCCCGTTATTTCTTTTGCATCTCTCTAACCGCTTTTTCTAAAGCTAGATTAAATAATATTGGAAATAACGCATCTCCTTGTTTTAGTTCTGTTTCTACTGTAAATATTTCGGATATGGTCTAATCTAACCAGATTTGATACTGTGTTTCTTCCATACACATCTTGATTAGACTTCTTAGTTTCTTTGGTATTTCAAATGCAGCCATTACGTTGTATAGATACTCTCGATGATTGCTATCATAGGCTTTTTTAAAATATATACATATTTGCCAGATGTTTTTTTGGAATTTATATTTGTTTTCTATGATTTGACCTATAATTGCAATTTGCTCAATAATTGATCTTCCCTTCCTAAAACCACATTGACATTCACCTAGGTTTTCTTCTACATAGGGACTTATACAATTTAGTAGTACTTTGGAAAATACTCTATAAGCCAGTTTCCCGGCATATTTCATTATACCATTTCTTTTTCTTACTCCCATTTTGTACTCCACCGATGCTTCATTCTGCGGTTTCTTTGATGACTAAACTTGTCTTGGTCCAATCCATTTCTATATTCTAAATTTTACTGTCCTTCAGCTGAATATCAATACTATCTGCATATTTATTTCTAATAATTTCGTTCTCAAATGACACTGCATTCAATTTTACACTTTTCCTCTTCATTAAACTTTTCAGGCCTTGTAATTTGAGTTCGAATTTCAATATCAACAGAAAGTGATCCGTATCAAAATCCGCTCCTCTGTAGCTTCTTATGTTCTTTATGCAAGATCGAAATCTATTCTGCATTAATATGTGGTTAATCTGTTTAAGCGTATTTCCATCCGGAGATTTTCATGTAGCTTTAGGTATATTTTTGTGGGGGAATGTTGTACTTCTCACTACCGTATTGTTTAACGCTGCGAAAGAAATGAGTCGTAATCCGTTTCTATTACTTATGACATAAAGATTCTCTTCAGTTGCTTTTGGTAGAGGATAATTTTCAATAAGTATCTGAATAAACAGGTAAGTAACCCCTTGAACTAATATATTTATGAATTAAAAACAGGTATAACTGATGAGTGATGACCCAGTATGCAATTTAAAAATAGTAGGAAATTATAAACAAAACAATACCTACAGATATTTAATTTGTATTAAGGTAATGTAAAATGTAACCTGTATAATTTTAAGTATACTATTTTTTTATAGTTAAGTTTACAGAATATATAATTATGCAATTATTTCAATTAAAATAAATATCGTATTAAGAAAAAGAAAGTATTTAACATTTTATTAATAAATTTGTAAAAATAATTTAAGGACCAAAATAATATTTCCGGGATGGCAGAATGGCTTCCCAGCAAGAGGGGACTACTGACAGGCACTACTTTGGATCGAAACGGTTGGTTCCAAACAGGTAATTTTACCATTTTGGTCAACTATCAATTGGCAAAAAAACAAGTAACTCCCATAATTTTTATTTTGACACGACCTCAAATGAAAAAAAAAGTAATCGTCTGTGCGTGTTTATTGAAAATGGCGGGAGTGTGCTTAATGTGGACTACATGAGTATAGGGTTAATATGACGACTATAATTAATTTAATGCTGGGGTAGGTACTTTTAGGCACCCCGTAATGTTTGTACACGTCATTATATGATTATATGCGAACGAACATTTAAAAATAATTGTTTTAATTTCACGACAAAAATCATGTATTTTTATTATACTTCCGCACGAATACGCTGCATTTAATATTGAAACAGCAGTGTCCTTTATGAAAAATAATCGGATGATTTGCCTATAGTCTGTGCACACTTTATGTATGCGGACAGTGGATAATAGTATAAATAATAATAATAATGATTTATAATATGTATACTATAAATAATTCCTTTGTTCGAATTCAAGATGACATTTTGAAAGATCTCCGTTGGCAAATGTTAAAAAAAAAAAAAGGTTTCAGGGGAGGAGGGAGGATATATGGAGTAGACAGTGGCGGTCCGAGGATGTAGTACGCAAGGAGCAGACTTATTACTGTCCACCCTCTCACCCACCGTAATCCACCAATTTAATATAAGCTTATACCTTTTGTACCTTAAAATATGTATATAATTTTCTTGATTATGTCTCAAAATTGTAAGATATTAAAAACACAGGATATCAGGATCACAATAAAGGAGAAATAAAAAACATAAATGAAAAGTGAAAATCTGAAAATAAGACTCATTTTATTTCATATTTTTTTTAGGTATAATGTATAAATTGTAAATTACTGAATTACCCATTTACCCATCATCTCCCACCCTTTTAATGTCTGGGAGCAATTGCTCCTCGTAATAGTAATATACATCTGGACCGCCTCTGGGAGTAGGTAATTTAATTCATATTCTACGCAACTATAAACTATTGCTAACAAAAAACGATTTTGAGCAGAGTATTATTATTAGTCGTATTTTAGATCCTGAGTAAAACAATACTTATGTGTTTTTTTATGTGGCTATGAATAATTTTTTTAACAGAAATCTTATTCCGATAAAAAACGCCATGAGAGCTTTTTTGTAGCATTTTGGATTTAGTTAGTGTATTGGGAAGTTATTTTTTGTTTTTTGTAGTTTTCTGAATAATTGAGAAAAAACGGGAAAGTTTAAGATTTTGTAATTTGATTAAAAATAATTGTTGAGACCTCCCATTTTCTCCAAATATTTATTTTAGAATTTTTTAGAAGTATGGAAATGTTCAAAACAATCTGACATTTTTTGAGTTATTTATGTATTTAAGCATTTAATTTCGCCTCTTCATCAGCAGTATCAACTTGGTCCATTTCTATTTTCACATGAATATACAATTGCAGATGTACATTTAACTTTATTCATCTTAAGCTTGAAAATAAAATTTCTTTCAGTTTAGAGTACAGATTCAGTTTTTTTTTAAAAAAATTTAATTTAATTTAAAAAATTCACTGACACTTTTTTCTTCGAGCTTTTATTTTTTTTTAGTATATACCCAAATGTTTAATGATTAAAATATACTCCAATTATATTAAAGTAGTATATTTACACTAATTCATATGTATATTATAAACATTAATAGCCATTAGATAGTGTATTTAGTAATATAAAATTAAATTTTTGGGTATAATTATAGGTTAATAATATTTATAATATTTTTGTGTCTGATGTGTTTTAGATTCTGAGTGGAGTGGTAAATGTATTGGTTTTACATTGATGTTTATTATTTTTTTTATCTGTGAACAATAGTTAATATATAATATTAATATATAATATTCTTGGATAATAATACCAGAAATCTTGCTCAGATTTTCAAGTGTAGCACTATTTCTAAAGGGAAATTTTCCTGGGGTTACTTTAGGGAGATCATCTTTTAATTTGAGTTTTTTATGTAATAAATATGGATAAAATTATCAGCCCAATAAAAATACATACAAATTTAATTGGATGTTCATTATCGTACTTTGTGGTAAAAAAAAAATTGAGTAATGTAGTACTTTTTTTTTTATAAGATTTTTGATAAAAATTTTAAATATTAGCACCTTTTAAAACATATTCAAACGAACTTAGCTCAGAATCTTTTTTCATTAGGAATGATAAACCATTGCACACAGATATATTTCCTTCAATATCCTACCTTTCCAACTTCTTACCTACAACACTGGCCAACCCATGGTACGAAGTATGGTCAGTTCTTTTAGCATAATAATCTGCATTGACAGTGTAAACAACTTATTAATTATCATAAAACCTTATTTTTTGCAACAGGGGCAATAGCATGAAAGAAATTATGACATTGTCGCCTCATACTCATATTAGTGAGTGCAACAAAACTAGTTTTTTAATACAGCTCATTTGTTCAGAGGGATACCATGTATTTTTATAAAAAGAATAACTAGTGGCTGAAAGAGATGTATAGATGTAAAATACATCTTATAAACAGACCAATATTCAAATTTATGTATCAAACTTTATATTTTTATTTTTATTTTATTCTTAAAGAAGATAATATTTTTTTACATTTATACTATTAAAATAAAAATTTGAATAACAATTCAAACTTTAAAGAATATAGATAATAAAATATCAATAACTGTAAGTATAAATAAAAATATAGGTAAGTAATTAATCTTAGTTATAACTAGTTTTGGCAACAAGTCATCATAAGGTAAGATGTATAAGTTTGTTTTTTATTAAATAATAATATTTAAATAAATTAACATACATTATTAGCAGATTATTTTTATTTTCTATAAAATAAAAAGTATGATATGTGTTTTATAATAAGATGGGTTATTTCATACGAATGAATCTTAAATTAAAATAAATAAATATAGTATATAAATACATAAATAAAAAATGTATATATAAAAATAAAATAAATAAATGAAAACGCCTGGAATCGCATTTTACATTTTGACTGTGATATATCTGATGATGAATTTTTAATTCGAAACCAGTCGTATAATACATTTATCATAATACTCCAGGCGATGCATTGATTCAATTATTTATTTTATTTTCATACATATACTTTTTATTTATATATTTATTTACTTTATTTACGAGTATTAACCATTTTAATAATCTTGTTTTTATCTTATTTTAGTAGGAATCTTATATTATACTTATTTTAATATAAAAATGTGTCTTTTACCAGGTAATTACATAATAAATTTCTATAAATAAAATAACTTTTTATTTGCTTTTTTATTTGTTTATTTATTTACTTTTTTTATTTATACATGATAGATCCAAAGATGTGATTAAAATTATGTACATAGTAAACTTACATATAAATTAGGCACCTAAAAGGTATAGGTATACATTATTGAACTATAGTACTAATCTTATCATTATTATCACTCATATTTATTGTTCTATAGCAGATGGATCGACCAGAATGTCTTCATTTTCCCCGTCTTCATCATCATTGTCTTCTCCATCACTAATATCTGAAAAATGTCAATTATACAATAAAATTGTATAATAATTAACCCAATACAAATTGGGTTAATCAACATTAATACAATAATTCCAACTTACTACGAACATTATGAAATTCTGAATAAAATGTTTCAAGCACATCCATATCTTCTAGATCTAAATTAAAATCCCAGATATCAAAATTTTCCCCCAGGGTTTCTGAACCAATCGATTTTACTATAGCTATAATACCTCTTTGCATCTAAATAATTCAATAAAATTAATTAGCTTAGCAAAATTGTATTTAAAAATAAGTCTGTTTACCTGAAATTTAATTATCACTTGAAAATTTGTTTTATTGTATTTTCTAGCTATTGTTTTCACAACATAATATTCTAAAAGATACAATGCTACATCAACATTTTCAGGTAATCCCAAAGGTTCACAAGCAGTCAAAACTATACTATTACTTTGACAAAACTCTCTAAGTTCATTTTGAGAATGATAAGGATGCAATTGAATCTAAAACAATTCACATTAAAAAGTCACAAATTCATAAAAATTAGTTTAGTATATTTTATAAATGATATCTATATAATTTAAATATTTTTTTTTTATTCTGATGTTTCACACAATATATTTTATATATAATTCAGCGGTTCCCAACCTTTTTGGGTCTGTAACCCACTAATTTTGTAAAAAAAAGTGTTGAGGCCCACTATCCTAATATACAGGTAAAAATAAACACAAATGGAGACCTTTAATATACGTATGATGAATACAGGGTGTTCCACAAAGATATAGGAGTATACACATTATAATCTCCGGAAATAATACAGATTAAATTCTTTTTTACATTACTCACAGAGATAAAAACTACAAATATTTATATTTCAATTAACTTTTTATGTTTTCGTAAAAAACTTAGAAAATAACTTTATTTTATTTTTTTTGAAAAATTTGAAGACATCCATTTTATAGATTTTATCTCTCTAAAAATTTGAACGCACCAACTTTTTATTTTCATTAAATTCATAATTTTTAATAATTTTTTAAGTTGAGAAAAAATAGTGTACATTCAATTAGGTACAATAATAATCTATTAGCAAAAGTAATTACAGCCTGCTGCATAATTATAGGAACTTTTCTCTGAACTTAAGCAATTATCTAAAATTATAAATTTAATGAAAATATAATTTAAAACATCAAGTTTCAGAAGAATAAACTCTATAAAATGGCTATTTTCACATTTTTCAAAAATAATAAATTTGTTTATTATTTTAAGTTTTTTTTACACCATAAAAAATGAATTGAAATATATATTTATATAAATGTATGTATCTTTATCCCTGTAAATTGAAAAATTAGTTTTTAATGGAAAAAAAAAAAATCGAAGTGATTTTTGATATTCACTGTCACCGAAAAACTACTCAAACAAATAAAAACAACGACTAAGACATTATTGTATTTTATTATTCATTATTGTTACTTTATAATATTATTATTTAATTGTTATCTTTAATATTTATTAACACATATGTATTTTTTTTTTGTAAATTGCTGTCAAGCGTAGACATAAAATAAAATAAAGACAGAGCATGCCAACACTCTACACCAAGCATACGATAAGAAAAAATGCAAAATACGATAGAAATGATAAATATAAACTAAATTCTAGTCTATTTTTGTCATCATTTAGTATTCTAGTTACTAGAATACTAGATAATAAACCTACAATTAATAAAATTGTGTGACAGCATCAATTGTCGGATTATTACCAAATCTCAATAAAAATACAGAAATTTACAGTATAATAAATAATAATATAAAATTTGTCTTGGACCTTCTTCCAGTGTTTGCAGCCCAATACCATGCTGCCTATTGGCCACAACCCGTGGAATGGGTACCGCTGTATTAATTCATACTGTATATAATTTAAGAAAATTATTACCTCATTAACGACTGGTTTAATAGTTGCTATATCTAAAATAGCTTTCACTTGTGCTTCGTTAAAATTCGACAATCCTATTGACTTTGTGAGTCCCAAATGTACACATTTTTCCATAGCTTTCCAAATATCACAGATATTATCAATGAACATTTTATAATCATTTTGATTTTCCTAAAATATATTAATTAAATACATTTTTATTTTAATAATATCTATTTTAAAAACCTACAATTTCTGTAGTTGGACAATGTATGAGATATAAATCCAGGTAGGTCAAGCCAATTTCTCGCAAACTACAATTCAAAGCAACTTCCACTTCAACTTCAGGATTCAATTTGTCATTCCAAACCTTAAAAAAATATATATTTAACAATGTTATGTGCTTCAGCAAAACTATCTTAATACAAAAAATAGCATTAAATAATTATACGTAGTAGAATTCTATAATATTTTATTACCTGACTAATTATACTATTTGTATTACCTACGTGGGATCTAATAGTTTACATATAAATTACAATAATTTATAAAAATGTTGGATATTATGCATTGTTTACTTAAAAAATATAGGATTTTACTACTTATATTTATAATAATAGAAACTATAAATCGCAACTAAAAAAAAAATATATTATTTATTTATTTATTTATGTAAAAAAGTAAATTCACTTCATTTACAACAAAATTCAATAGGTTAACCTAATGGATTTAAAATCCATATAGTTAAAAATACATATTATACCTAATATATCCTTTTGTATAAATCAATGCATGTATTGGAGAGGGTCGTTGGGAGATGAAGTACCACATTCTTTTTAAAAATATTTTAGTGTCTACAGCTTCTATTTTTTCTTAATAGGTCACCGAGGATTGGATGGTGAAGCAATATTGGGTGACAATATATATATGTGATATATTATAGTGTAGTGGATATATTTGATTATTGAGTTGTGCCATATGAGGGGGTGTAACCTCTCACAAAATAGTTTGATTACAATTATTATAAGGGGAGCTAATTTTTAAGTCTCATAGTACTTCTACATAAACTTCTTTTTTTTTTTTTAAATTTAAACAGAGGAAATAATTATAAAAATGTAGCCTATGAAGTAATTAAAATTTTTATTTTAAAATTACATTAAAACTCAATGAATGATTAAAAACCACTGAAGGTATTGAAACTTTACAACATTAATGCAGATAACTATTTTCAGAACAAAAGTTATGTAATAATAAAGTTAATTAATAAAGTTTCAAAGCATATACTTTTATTTTTTTTTTTAACTTACCTTGCCAGTGATCCACACATCTTCTCTTTTTATAGCTCCTTCTCTAATTTTATCAGTGATAGCCATTCCTACAAACTTTTCATTGTTGTAAAAAGGAGCACAATCAAAATGACGATACCCCAAATCGATTGCAGTTTTAACAGTTTCAAAAATCTTGAACTGTTCCAATTCTTTTATATAATTTGATGTTATCTGTAAATGTAATAGATTTATTATAACTGTTAACAATGTATAATAATAAAATTAAAAATATTAAGCAATAATTATGGGAATAAAAATTTAATTAGTATATGAAAAAAAATTAATTAAATAAACATCACAGAAAATTTAATGTTTTTTAGATTCTGAGTGGAATGAAGAAGGTTATTGTTTTACAATAATGTTTATTTATTTTTTTTCTGTAGACAACTTTTCTACCAGCAATTTTACTCTGATTTTCAATTTTTCTAGGTTAACTTTATATATTAATGTTTACAAAACTTGGAACTGAAGAGTAACTAAATTATATTAAAAATTAATTACTGAAATAATTTAATCCAATTTATAAAAATTAAAGAAAGTATAAATGAAATATCAACAAAAAAATATTCTCAAATTCTCAAATCTCATCGAAATTCAAAGGATTGGATGGGGCTTTTTAATGTCATGGAATTTTATAATAGACCAGGTCAAGACTACCTGCTTTAAGTGCATCTTGCGAAAGAAGTTTTAGTGCAGCTGGGCGTATAATTAAAAAACATTGTATGAACTTCTAAGGAAGTAGTGTAAATTCCCTTAATTTTTAAATCAGAAATTAAAATTTTCAAAGCTCTTTCATAGAAATCTATTTTTGTTAAATATATCAACCATAATATATTATGCAGTTTTAACATGAAGAAAATAACTATAATATTTTTTTAAGAACACTCTTTAATTATTTTACATCAAAAATTTTGAATTTGTATATAAAAATAAATTTTAGGTTAAAACTAATTAAATTGATTGGATTTTATTATTAAATAGTTAATATTTAAATTTGAATAAAAAAACATTAAAATAATTTATTTTAATGAAGTACCTAAAACATATAATGAATATTGTTGATATTATATTGTAATAACTAGTATCGAGTAGTAAGTACAGTATTGATTGAAATTGTATGCAGTTACTGCTTATATAGATTTTCAATAAAACAATAAGACAATTAATCAATTGGTTTTGGAAGAAATGTAGGTTCAAATAAGTTTATACAAATTGTCCAGCTATTCCATTCATTAATTGACATATGTCTAATCTAAATGTTATTTTAGTTTTTAAATATTTAGATCTACTTAATATGTTAAATTTTCAGTAGATAAATTAAATGTATGTTCTGTTAGATCCAACTGGTCTTCGTCAAACTTAGCAGGAAAATTATGTATATAAAGCCAGTTAACATCATTGTTATCATTAATTATTAAAGGTAGGTATGTCATAGATATTTTTAATAATACACTTAAACCAGGCTTACAAAAAAAAACCTAAGACTGGACTTGGCTTTTAAAGAGATTAGCATTATCATCAAACTGGGCCGGAGTTTTTTTTTCACAAAATATTTTATACCAGATTGGACCAGGCAAAAAAAAATTGTTGAACCAGATCATACCAAAAATTGATGGCCCTTGTAAGTCTTTAGTATAGTATAATAGTATAGTATATTTTTACATTTTATTGATCTGTGTCAGAAATGTTTAAAGTATGTAGAGGAAAAGTCCTAGATTCATATAATAGTAGTAGGTAAATTATTTAGTTTTTAAAAGAGTTCAAAAGTTATGTAATGCATTAATTTTTTATACAAGTAGGCTAAGTAAATAATATTATATAAGTAATATGTAGATAAATAGTAAAGTACTAGAAATAATTTCCAATTTTAAAATAAATACCTCAACACTAGGATCTTCGACTGCACAAATACCCAACACTGGGAATAGCTGATTGTTATTCAACTTTTTAAAGAACTGAGCCATTTTAAATTAACACGAAATAATTAGGCTACAGAAACAATCAGAAGAACCAAAAAATTAAATGGAAATTTTAAGTTCTATAAGTGTAATGTCTCAACTCACAACGTATATTCCGCTAGCAATAAATGATAAGAGAGCCCAGTGGTTCCCAAAAATGGATAATAAGGGGTTAGATAGGCACTAAATAAGCACAAATATACGATAAGAAGCCAACGGAAAGACTGTAGAAGCTTAGGGTACATAAAAGCATAGACATATAAAGAGATGAACTGCGCGTATGTGCTTAGAGCTCGGATTAAGATATCTTAATTCATGGCATAGTTGGAGAAAACTCATTCAAAATCATTGAGTGACACTTGTTCGAAAAATGTTAAGAACCGTTTTTTCGAAACCCGACCCGGTCACACCCCATTATAGCCATGGACATCTGAAAGGGGGAGGGGAAACAGGGTATCTGCCCCTCCTGAAAATCAATATTTCAATTAAAATTGTAATTTAATTTTAAGTGTTTTTTTGGTGTTTGATATTATTATGTCCCTCCCTGATAAATTTCCTGCAGAAGCTCATGAACATATCCATTATTATATTCAATTATTAACAAACTGCTTACAGGGCACAAGAAATAAAATATTACCAGACATGGTTTTTTATAACAAATCATGTTCATTTTCGATTAATTTCCTTTATATGCTTTCCTGTACAAAGCAATATTACAATTAAATGTGTTAAAATATCCCAAATTTAAAATTTATAGAAATTACTATTTCACTCTTTACATAAGAAAAGATGATGGAGATCAATCCATAAAGATTGTTATGTTGGTTCAGCTACAAAACTTGGATATTAATAAAAAGCTTGATAGGTAGTAGTTTTCTACTGTAATTATATAATTATCTTACATTTAATGTAAGTATTAGTTATATGGTATTTAAAAACATATTTAGAGTACAATAAATTTCATTATTTAAGTGTTATTTTTTTCAGATACTTAGTAATTGTATTTACTTTTATTAATATTGTTATGCAAGTACATTAAATATTATTTTTTGTTTCTGATTATTGTTATTTTTTTGCTTGTTCATAGTTAGATACAGAAAACCCAACCGTTTACAAGTTCTGCTGTTTAGTTGGGTTTTGCAGCTTAACTTAATGCTATATATATTATATACGTATTTTGCTGTAATCTTAAGTTTTTGTTTGTATAGAGTACTATGTATTTTTTGTTTTATTATTTTTCTATAATTAGTTTTAGTTATAGATGAGTTTATATATATATCTTTTTTTCACTGTATATTTTTAGTATAGAAATCTAAATTTCCTCCACAAGCATTGCTTTTAGGAGACATCATTTCGTATCTAATTGTCAATTATATTATCATATATTCTAGGAAATGAAATAAAATATATATTATTATTATGTATTTTATTGCAAAATAAAGACTTATTATTATTTATCGTTGATTTACTATTATGATTGTAGTTAATGATTATTTTTTTTTTCCATGGACAACTTTCCTACCAGCAATTTTGCTCTAATTTACAATGATAGTACTTTTCCTGGAAGGAAATCTAACGGGTGATAATGTTTTGAATTTCCAGTTTTACCAATCATTGAGAAAAACCGGAAAAATAGATAGATATCAAACAAATATTATTAAAGAAAATATATAATGTATATGTAATTATTTTACCATATGACTTATATATTGTTGACAAAGCAAATCTTTGTTCAAATTTCAAGAATAGCATGTTTTCACTCAATTATCGTATTTTTTTTTTTTTATATAATATATTAAGCCAAAGCCATCACAATAAAATGTAGGTGTAAATAAATAATCATTATTATAATGATTTGCATTGTTGTCAGTCAAATTGTTTTTCTATATTTTTGTGATTGCATTCCCTAAAGGTTTTTAACATTGGATTACTTCTACTACACCATAGGTCCATACTATGTTTAGGTACCATTTTTACTTCTTAACCCAATATTCTGACTGATTTTGTTTATAATTAGTATTTTTTTGTGATTTCATATTTTGTATTATTATCTTTTTTTTTTTTTTTTTGGTTTTTTATTAGAAAATATACAATCTGTAAGTTAGTTTTACAATAAGAATATGGGCTATAATAAATTGATATGAATTTCTTGATAAAAGAAGAAACCCAGCGGCTACACTTTATTGGTTTAATGTTTTAATGTTATGTTAAATATATATATATATATATTTTTTTTTTGAGATTAAGAGTTTAGGTCACGGCACCATCTTCTCTTAAGTCTTCTTTGGGGATTCCCAGGGATTGTTTGTGCGTTAAGTGCTGCGATTAGCGGGTCGGGGTGGTTCTCTAGTCGTAACCGATAACGTTTATGTATAATTGACGACATTTTTGAGACAGTTTTAATATATAGGTCAGTGTGGAGTGTGTGATTGGATACATAAAAGGGGGCCTTGGTTATCATGCGTAAGGTAATCGATTGAAATCTTTGTATTATGTTTAAATTTGATGGTTTAGCCGCACCCCATAGCTGGATGCCATAAGTCCATATGGGCATGAGAAATTGTTTATAAATTAGTAATTTGGAATTGAGGTTAAGTTTAGAGTGATTACCTATCAAATAGTGTAGTGATTTCCTTCTGAGGTTTAGAGTGTTGCGTTTAATTTTTATATGTTCTGCCCAGGTGAGTCTCTTGTCTAGGGTTAGACCTAGGTAACGGATGTTGGGGACTATTTGTATTGTTTGATTATTTAGGTTAACAGAAGGTATTTCACCCTGCCTTAAAGAAAAAGTAATGTGTGATGACTTTTCGTTGTTAATTTTAACTTTCCATTTAGTGTACCAGGAAGATAGGCTGTTTAGGTGGTTTTGTAAGTGTAGAATGGTAGTGTGTAGATCATTTTGAGAAGTGTATATAATTCTGTCATCAGCGAATTCGGCTACTGAAGTATTCGGGGAAGTTGGTTGGTCAGCTGTGAATAAGTTGTATAGGAAAGGCGATGAAACAGCACCTTGGGGGACACCAGCTAGTATAGGGGTATTTGATGATACTTCCGTACCTACTTTTGTCACAAAGAAACGGTTATTGAGGTACGATTGAAAGAAGAGGATATAAGGCGTGGGAAGAATCGCTTTTAATTTATAAAGAAGTCCCGGGTGCCAAACTCGATCAAAAGCCTGGGCAACATCTAATGAAACAGCAGAGCAATATTTTTTCATTTCCAGTGAATACGATATTGAGTCAACTAATTGGTTAATTTGATGGATTGTTGAATGTCTATTCCTGAATCCAAATTGTGAATTTGGGATGATTTGATAGATATTAGTTAGTCGAGATGTATGTTTTAAAATTAATTTTTCAGATAGTTTGGCAAATAAAGGAAGAAGATTTATTGGACGATACGAAGTTGGTATATCCGGGGGTTTATTTGGTTTAGGAATCAAGACAATAACTGAAGTTTTCCACTAAACCGGAAAGTACGAGAGCCTTAATATGGAATTTAAAATATGGGTAAGGTGGATAACGGATTTTTTTGATAGTTGGCGAGCAACTTCAGCTTTAATTAAGTACAATCCAGGGAATTTTTTGAGGGAAAATGATTTGATGTAGTGGTAGACTTCAAATGGTGAGAAAGGTTTGGGCGGTAGGTAGAGTGGTAGTGGGGAGTCTAATGTTTTTAAGACATGTTCAGTAAATAATTGGTGGCTGATATCCTGGTGGGGTTGGAAAACATGTTCAAGATGTGAGCCGAAGACATCTGCTTTCTCCCCATCCTATTTGCACCAGGTACCATCCGGTTTTTTTAAGGAGGAGCATTTATTATTATTATCTTAATTTTTAAACATTATAAATTTAGAAAAAAGCATATTTGTATTATTACTATCTTCATGGTTCTCAATTCATATATTATTATGAAAATTGGACATATAAGGAAAACACTAAGATATTAAACAAACATTTTTTTAAATGATTTTTTTTATTACTATAAAAATATTATAATTTATGAACAAAAATACATTTTTAATATTTGCCAATTAAAATAATAAATAATAAAAAATTATTAATTCAATTTATTGATAAAATTTAATCCCATATAAAGAAAAATAAAACTAACGTTATCAGAATTATCACTCGTATTTATTATTCTTCGTGAAATGGGTAGTCCTTCAAGTGTAATGATCTGAAAAATAATATCAAAATAATTAAACGAAAATGAATATACCTACATTCATTATTTAAATTTACTTTTCAAAAACCACATAACGCAAATTTCTATTTAATGTTTCAAGTAGAACTATATCTTCCTTGCTTAATTCAAAATCCCAGACATCAAAATTTTCTGCTTGCCTCACTGGATTAGATGATTTAGGTATAACTATAATACCTCTTTGGATCTAAATGTTTAATATAATTAATTAGTAATTAAAATTTGTTTTGTAACACCAATATTTCACCTGGAACTTTATTAATATTTGAGCATTTGTTNCTAGCTGTTTTACAATAGGTTCATCCAAAAGGTTAATTTCTTTATTTCTATAAGGTGATCCCAAAGGCCCATAAGCAGTTAAAAGTATGCCATTAATTTCGCATACCTCTTTGAGTTTATTTTGAGTAAGATAAGGATGATTTTCAACCTAAAACATTCGGACATTTCAATAAAAAGATTATTAGTTAATTAGAACTTAGTTAACTAAACTTCATAAATAATATTTATAATTGAAATAACTTTTTAATTTTTGTGTTTCAATTATGTACAAGATTTAGGAAAATTATTACCTGATTAACAACTGGTTTAATAGTTGCTATTTTTAAAATATCTTTCACTTGTTGAGTGTTGAAATTGGAAATGCCAATTGATTTTGTGAGACCTGATTGGACACACTGTTCCATAGCTTGCCATGTATCTAAATAAGAGATATTAGAGTCAATTAAGCGACCTTCATTGTCTGTAGCATTTGGATCATCCTAAAAATTAAATTTAAAAATAAATTAATTGTTCATTTTACTATCATTAATTATATTATCTATTCAAAAATATTTACACTATATGCTAACGGCCAATGCATAAGATATAAATCTAGATATTCTAAGCCGAGTTCCTTTAAACTCTGTTTCAATGTAATTTCCACATCTTTAGGATTATGTTTATCGTTCCAAAGCTATAAATAAAATAAATATTTTACAATCGAGTATTAGAAAACTCAATATAAACAATATGTTTAAACAAAATTTAATTTTTACTATTATCATAATTACCTTTTTTTTTTGATTTTGTTTTCTATGGGATTTATTTTTTCATATACAAAAAATTAATAAAAAACCTTGCATAGTACATACATATATTTAAACAAATTTGCATAATAACATTTAAGTCTATCTACCTACCAAGAAATTATTTAATTTTTGAGTAAAAAAACTGGTATTAATTCTTTACATCATAATGTTACCTATCAACTCCAATTATTTTTCTATAATATTATATACATTGTTTTCTTACAAACCTTACTGGTGATATATATTTCTTCTCTTTTTATAACTCCTTCTTTAATCTTTTCAGCGATAGCTTTTCCTACAAACTTTTCATTGTTATAAAAAGCAGCACAATCAAAATGACGATATCCTATATCGATTGCACTCTTAACAGCCTCGTAAATTTCAATCTGCTCCGATTCATTAATTTCGGGTGTTGACTGCAAAATTTGAAATATAAATGATGATTAGAATATTTTAATTATTATTTTATGTTATATTATTATTTTATTATTTTAATTATCAAAGGTTTAAAATTTAGTCTTAATGTTGGATTTTCTTCCTCTTTCTATCCTCACACAATATAATCTAATATCTTGTATAATATTAGTACCTACCTATTAAATCTCCACTCGACTCAGTCTCCCACATTGTCTACACATTGAAATTAGGTAATACCATTTTATAAGCTAACAAGTAGACTACATAATATATTAAATACAAGATATTTAAATTTTTACCTGCCAAGTGCCTAGGCCTAAAACTGGATATTGTTGGCCGTTGTTAAATTTTACCATTTTTACTAATTGAGACAACATTTTAAATGAATACAGAATAGCTACAAAATAATGACAACATCTAAGAATTAATAAATGAAAGTTGAAATCGATGTGTTTATGCAATAAGTAACAAAATATACCAAACGACAATTATTTATAGTATGTATGTCGTATATATTGTATAAATTATCAATAATACTATCATTACGATATAATTATGAAACGCAATAACAGTCGATATTAAGATAGATAATACAATTATCACGTAAATAAGGCAAAGTATTATCTTTAAAGACTATTCCATTATTTTTTTTTATACACATTTAAATAGTTTATTTTTACAACGAACACTTACAAAATTTATCATTATAATATTGATATGAAATAGAGCAGTGTTAACTGATGAGCTGTGGTTTAAAGAAATTATACGGAAATCGTTGAAGGGCCAACCATGTTTTTGTACATTACCTATCACAAGTCGTTATTATAATTACCGTATTTTATAATTTTTTTTTTAACTATAAAAAAAATAAAAATAATATATATTAATTATCACATGGTTCAACAACTTACTGTTTTTTTAATATAGAAATGGTGTTTTTACGACGTGGAAAATTAAGATTAGATTACTTATCAATACATTTTATGACTTTGCTAGTTTGATTCTGAGTGTACGAAGAATGTACTGGTTTTACAATAATGATTAATATTTTTTTTTATTCTATGACAAAAAATTCTATGAGAAATGTTGCTTCGATATGTAAGTGTAGCACTATTTTCGAAAAGAAATATTGTCTAAATGGTACTTTATGATCATTTTTTGATTTTCAAAATATCTGGGAAAACCCGGGATAAAACGTAAAAAAAAAACGGGAAAATTTACGAAAATAAAAATGTTTTTATTATTTTCAATATTAATTATAAAAGTTCTGTATGTGATTTGTATTAGATGAGTACTCTATGGATATAATTGTTATACTAAATAAAAATGCTTGAAAATTTAACATGAGGTTCATTAAGTCGTACTTTGTGTTAAAAAAAAAAAATTGAACTTAATGTAGTCATTTTTTTTTTTTTGGTATAAGGATTCAAATTTTCAAATTTTGATGACAATCGTTTGAGTAAGAAATTGTGTGAAACAAATCTAGTTACGGGTTCATGTAAATTTTTAAATTTTCTTTTGTTTTGAACATATATGTATATTTTCGATTTATGGACGATGGCGAAATCAGAATTGAGCGGACCCACATGCATACTTATTATATATTGTTAAAAAACCAATACCATTCACCGAGCTCCGCAAAGAATCGTTTTTCGTTAGTTATGGTAAATCATTGAGTGCAGATAAACATTAAATTTCCAATTTATCTTCCCAACTTCTCACTTACAACAGTGGCCAACCTACGTGCGAAGTATGTCTGTATTATATAGTAACAGACTATAATTATGTGTAGGTACATTGTGCAATGTACATGGGTTATTAATATTATACATTATAATAATTAATATTATTCACTGTACATTATTTATGGTACATACATACCTATATAATGAGGTTTTCAAAAATTTAATAAACATTTTTTTTTTTTAATATTCCTACAAATTGTATGGTTTATTATTAAACAATTTGTTTTTAATTTTCATTTAATTAACTAAAAAGGTTACAATAGTTGTCCCATATCACTAATGTCAGTACCACTTTACATTTACATCAATAACTATATTTATATTTTAATCTTATACCTACTTTTGTAGACAAAAAGTTTTTCAAAAATATTTAAGAAATAACAAATATGAACAAAATTTAATTGTATTCCTTGATAAAATTTCAGCGCCAAGTATATCTAGAAAGTAAGTATTTATTATTCTTCGTGAAATGGGTAGTCCTTCAAGTGTAATGATCTGAAAAATAATATCAAAATAATTAAACGAAAATGAATATACCTACATTCATTATTTAAATTTACTTTTCAAAAACCACATAACGCAAATTTCTATTTAATGTTTCAAGTAGAACTATATCTTCCTTGCTTAATTCAAAATCCCAGACATCAAAATTTTCTGCTTGCCTCACTGGATTAGATGATTTAGGTATAACTATAATACCTCTTTGGATCTAAATGTTTAATATAATTAATTAGTAATTAAAATTTGTTTTGTAACACCAATATTTCACCTGGAACTTTATTAATATTTGAGCATTTGTTTTCTTGTATTTATCTGCTAGCTGTTTTACAATAGGTTCATCCAAAAGGTTAATTTCTTTATTTCTATAAGGTGATCCCAAAGGCCCATAAGCAGTTAAAAGTATGCCATTAATTTCGCATACCTCTTTGAGTTTATTTTGAGTAAGATAAGGATGATTTTCAACCTAAAACATTCGGACATTTCAATAAAAAGATTATTAGTTAATTAGAACTTAGTTAACTAAATTTCATAAATAATATTTATAATTGAAATAACTTTTCAATTTTTGTGTTTCAATTATGTACAAGATTTAGGAAAATTATTACCTGATTAACAACTGGTTTTATAGATGCTATTTTTAAAATATCCTTCACTTGTTTAATGTTAAAGTTTGAAATTCCTATTGATTTTGTGAGTCCTGATCGAACACACTGTTCCATAGCTTTCCATGTTTCTAAATAAGAGACATCAGAGCCTAATAACCGCCCTTTACTATCCGTAGCGTTTGGATCTCGCTTAAATATAGAACAGGTAAAGATGAATATAATTTTATACTAATTTTAATATTAAACATTTTGAAATATATTAGTTATTTACATTAGTTGCACACGGGAAATGAATAAGGTATAAGTCCAAATAGTCTAAGTCAAGTTCTTTCAGACTATGTTTCAATGAAACTGCCACATCTTCAGGTTCATGTTTATTATTCCAAAGCTTTTTTGACACAACAATTTTAATATATTAAATAAAGTAATATTTTAAATTAGGTAGGTCTAGCTAATTTAACTCCATATCCTATTTATTAGTTATTTCCATTACTTACTTACTTTAGCTCTTAATTATGAATTAATTATTACCTAGCCTATATGTATTTAACAGTCCCCATATTGATAGCGTTAACATAGTAGAAGGTAGAAGTGGAAGACTTAAAATAATGTCAAAACATTTTAGGAGAGCGGGTGAAATGTTTAAGATTAATAGGAAAGTAGATAATGATGATTTAATTATTAGTATAAACAATGAAAAGAAGGTTGAGATTATGAACAATTAGATATGACAAAAAGGAAGATGAAAAAAACAAAGTCAGGTAGTAAAGACAGTTCTAGTCAAAGAAGTGGTTGAGAAGCATTGAAAGGCTTAAAATAAAATAACTATAAGAGTTAGAAGGCTGGTTAAACAACCTATTAAATTAAACCTATAATTTCCTAAAATGTTAATTATCTTTATAATATTGTTTTGTTGGTATATTGAGTTTTGAATTTATATTAATTATTTTTATAATATTGTTATTAGATATAGAATTTTGAATTTTTATTAATGTGATGTGTAATTTAGCTTAAAATTTAAATAATAAATAATAAATAGTTAAATAATGGTTATAAAATGGATACTTACAGTTACAATTACAAAATTAATAATATGAAGTACTTAATTTATAATTTGTATAACAATAAATATTGTTTGATTGTTTTGTATAATTTCGTTTTTTTGAAAAATAAATAGGTAAATAATAATATTATTTAGAATAGCAGATGATTTTTTTGTTAACCAATTGACTATATCCACTGTTGGTCGTTTGTGCTCTGTTCGTAAAACTGTGTGGTCTACCTATGTTGTGTACATTATTGTGTTATTGAAAAAATATATAAAACTACATTTGCTCATGGTATTTATATGCTAATGGAAAGTTACAAATCATATTTTTGTAATGAAATAAATATTTAAAAATGCAATGGATAAAAAATCCATTTTTTTTTTGTAGTAATTGTCTATACTTAAAATCCATTTGATTTTATTTTTATGTAAGTAAATATTATTATAACTTAAATAATTCAATAGGTACTTAACTAGTTCTATGATTCTTAAAGCTCTCATGTACATCTTGTGTTTAATATAATTAAACATAATAATAGGTTAACAAATTTTAAAAAAATTATGTGTTTTTTTTAAATTTAGTCTTGGAGAATTTTAACATACTACATCATACCTTACTGGTGATATATATTTCCTCTCTTTTTATAACTCCTTCTTTAATCTTTTCAGCGATAGCTTTTCCTACAAACTTTTCATTGTTATAAAAAGCAGCACAATCAAAATGACGGTATCCTATATCGATTGCACTCTTAACAGCCTCATAAATTTCAATCTGCTCGGATTCATCTACTTCGGATTTGGACTGCAAAAATGTTTATTATAATTAATAACAAGAAAAATTATATGAAAATCATTATGGAATTATTCTTTAGCACAATAAAGTATAACATTCTTATAAAAATATATCTATATAGGCTTTAAAAGTCAGGTAGGTTAAAATGTTACACCATGATAAAATAAAGTTTTTATATCAGAGAATCAAAAAGAATAGTGAATTATGGAAATCATTGAATTTTTAAAAAGGTTTAAAAATTAGATAGTATGATTTTTAAGTAGACATACTAAAATACAAGATATGGTAACTAATAATATATATACCTGCCAAGTGCCAAGTCCTAAGATTGGGTATTGCTGACCATTATTTAGCTTTATCATTTTTACTAATTGTGACATTTCAGATTTCTAATTTTAATAATATTACCAAACAGTAACTCAAGATTAATAAAATTAAAATGCATCAATACTTAATATAATCAAAATATAAAGGCCATAAGAGCGATTAGATAACAGGCCATTAGAATTAGATTACGTGTGCATATAGTTATATAATATATTCAGTGATTTCAAAAAACATTTTTTTTTTTTACGATATATATTTATACGTATGCTTAAAATAAAATAAAGTAAAGAAACAATCTATTTTCGATTGTACTTGAAAATATACTAATTTCATTTTCATATTAGCCAGAAATTAAAATCCACATTCAATTAATATACATGTAATTAAAATTAAATGCATAATAATGTAGGTATGTACACTGAAACTGTAACTTTTGGAACAACTGAAAAGTATCGGCATCGCCGTATTTTTGAACAGCTCCTTTTAACTTTTCCAAAACAATTTTTATTTCTTTTTGAGTGATTTCCATATTGGTCTCCTCGTTGTCGTCATTATCAACAATATTTTCTTCTTGATTTTTTTATTTCCAAATCAGTTAAAACTATAGAAACGATAAGAATGTTCATGAAAGTGATTCAATCATCCAGTACTTGGTGATTCTACTAAAAGGTTAATTTAATATTAATAACTTAAGATTTGGTTTGGGATTTTCATTTTAGGTGGTTTTTGAATAAACTGTTGGTTCTATTAACCGGTGATTACATTAAGCGGAACTCATTGTGTATATATATATATAATATATGTGTATGTGTGTGTGTATTATAGAGCAGTAATAGTTTGAACTACAAATTACAAGTGGATAAAAACAAGTTATGTAAGAACATAAAAAAAAAAAACGAAAACAATTGTGTAATAACAATTCTAAAAAAAGACCGATATGCCTCGCACATGGGCGCAGCCACTGTGTGAGGAAGTTGGGAATATACGATACAGACAGGAATTTAATGTGTATCTGTAAGCAACAATAAACCATTGCTTGACGAAAAACGATTCCGAGCGCAGTTCAGTTGATAGTGTTATTTTGTCAACAATATATATTATATGCCATATTATGAAAAAATGATAACAACAATGTGCGTTTCTTTGACAACAATGATTGTTTAAAAAAAAGATTAAAATAATAACAAAAAAATAAATAAAAACGGGTGTTAATAGCAATCTTTTTTAGCCTAAAAAACTAGGTTTTCCTCATTATATCGAATATTAATGAGAATTTCAAAAAATGACCTCTTTAAAGTACCCACCAGAGAATATTTCCGTTAAGAAAAACTACTATACTTAATAATCGGAGTAAGCTTTCTGGTAGAAAAAGTGTTCACATAATACAAATTAATAAATAAATAAACATCATTGTAAAACCAATATATCCTTCACTTCAAAATCTAAAAAATTAATATTGTTACTTATAGATCAAATAAGTAAACTAGCACTAATTAAAGTAGGTAGTTTTTAATTTATAAAAAGTAATATCAATTAAGTTAATACATTTTGATATGCTGATTTTGTAATTGTTGGGATTATTTAGTTGCATTTGATTGTATACATTTTTAACTTTAAAAAAGAAATTTCTCTGCCAAAATAAATTGTCGAAAGATTTAAATTTATAGGTAATTTTTATTAAATTTTGCAAAACATGTAAAACTAATTTTAGATTCTGAGTGGAGCGATGGAGCTATTGGTTTTACAATGCTGTTTATTTCTTCGTTCTTTGTTCTAGTCTATGGACACATTTTATCCTAATAAGTTTGCTCCGATTTTTACGTGTAGCAACTATTCCGATAGCTCAAGTTATCTATATTGTACTTTAAAGAGGTCATTTTTTTAAATAAATGAACTGAAGTGGAAAACATAATTTCACGATTTCATTATTTTTATTTTATAAAAACACGGACGACGTTTTCAACCAGAAAAAATGACTTAATCGAAAAATCACAAGACACTTTTTTTTTTGTTTTTTTAATTTACTTTCTAACAATATCATCGCTAAAACATTTGGTCTTTTAATTTTTTAATTTTTGAGAGTTTTTTGTTGTAATTTAGTTATAAATACATATAGAGACTTGAAACTTGGTAATAATACTTATATTAGACTTACCTAGACGTGGTAAAATGTCAAAAAAAATCAGACTTTTTTTTTAAAATTTTTAATTTAGAAAATTTGAATCACTATCGATAATACAATTTTAGTAGGATATAACTATATAAATAAATATTTTTATTTCTGTTTCACTGTTCTAAGTTCGTTAGATAATTTACAGGAACAAAAAAACAATGTTAGCATAATATTAACAGGATACCAATCATGTATAAAACAGCGATACCAACAACAGGTTAAATGTATAAAGTTTCTAAAATTAGAACTTACAATGTAAACATTTGTTATATATTTCATATATTTTTAATAAATTGTTTTTAAAATCATTTATTTAGTAAATATTCACATCTACTTGTATGACTAGAACAGTGATAGTTAATTGTAATGGTGAAAATTAACTAACAGTAGTGAATGAAAAAATATATTTAAGAAAATTATACAAATTTACTCAATTTGTACTCAGTGAATATAAAATCCTGTCTATAGGTATCACTGTTCTGAGGTATTGATAAAAAAAATTAAAACATCATTAGTGTAAAGGAAGCACTGAGATATAGTTTATTTTTATAAGACATCATATTTAATTAAAAGTAGTAATTTTCTTTTATTATTAAAAAAATATATTATTTGTGTATGATCAAATACTATACCACTATTCATGTACTACCTTCTATTTTAATAATATTTTCATCTAATAATTAAAAAGCACACTCAAAATTATTATTGGTGCAATATTTAAACTATATTTTAATGAAAAATAGTTAACAATTTATTATAAAATAATATGTACTATTTGGTGATACTTAAGTATGAACACAATTATTGTCACATTAATTTATAAGAATAATTTGTTTAACATATTAGACCATTGTTTAAGCCAAAAGTTAAATTAAATGTTATAAAATGTTTATTAAGAGTAATGTAATAAAGTTTTTAGTTGTTGATTTTCTCTTCATATTCAAATTAAGCCTCATCAAAAAATGGGTAGTCTTTCAAATGCTTGGCTCTACAAAACAATAGGTATTCATAAATATTTGTTATTAAAAATATTTATATTTTTTACTTACGTGGTAAATTGAAAATAACGAATATTTCTATTTAGGGATTCAAGTAAATCAATATCTTCCTGGCTTAATTCAAAATCCCAGACATCAAAATTTTCTTTCTGCCTTTCCGGATTAGATGATTTTGGTATGACTATAATACCCCTTTGGATCTAAATTTTTAAATATAATTTACATTTCTAAAAATACATTTAAATATAAAATAATGTTATTACCTGGAACTTTATTAAAATTTGAGGGCTAGTTTTGTTGTATTTATCACCTATTTGTTTTACAAGAGGTTCATCTAAAATAACACTTTCATCTGGTGTTGCCCATGATCTTTTGGGTGATCCTAATGGACCATATGCAGTTAAAAATATTTTCTCACTGTCACAAAATTCTTTAAGTTTCTTTTGTGTTAAATAAGGATGGCATTCTACCTAGAATAAAAACATTTTTTGAAATAACTAAATAATACTTCATAACAAAATAAGGTACTAGTTTAATTGACCCCAACCACTCAGGTTTAGTAGATGCCGGCCATTTACATCTCCCATGTTTTTGATGTTTTAATAATTATATGCATTATCTCGTATTTAAAAATGTACAAAAAAAGTATGAAAACTATTTAAAGCATTTATCACACTGTACATAATATATAGATTATACAATTAAACTAAAAATTTAAGTAATTCAAATAAAAATAGATAAATTATACATATATATAATTGAATCGTAAAAAAGTAAAAAATTCAATAGAAAAAAAAATACATATTTTATCATAAATTATGCAGATGGCCAAAATACTGCTGTCCTTCAGTGATTCATTAAATGGATTGCATCTGTTTAATTAACTTTGCCACATAAACTCTACCAAATAAGAATCTAGAAAGTTTCCCTTAGTCCCTCTTTGTTTCTTGTTTCCCATTTAACACTTTCCTATATCCTCTCAACATTCTGCGTGAGAGCTACATGTAGGATCCATAAAGCTATATTTGTGATTATAAAGGCCGGTGATTTGTTGAATATTATTATAAACTCGCCAGGAATCAGATAAAATGGTTGATCCAACTCATATACCACCAAATACTCATTGTTGCGGCAGTATTTGACCTGCATTATTTTTCCCCCTGACAAATAAACTCTCATCAATCTCAACAATGTAACCAGTACCTCCTATTTTTGAATCAACCTGAGAAAGTTTCTATACACATAATCTAAAAAAAGTTATTCCAATAATTTGCTCATTCCAAATTTGCATTTACAAAAATTCACTAATGAACTAATGTTCATGAACCCAACCATAAATGAAGTGAACTATACTTAGTAACTATAGCTCAGCACTTTGTATCTGATTATTGGTCTTTACACTTTTTTCTGCTCGACATGATCTTATATGACATTGCCACTGACCCTTTGTACATCTAAAATCATTCAGTGTCCACTGTCACAAGTACTAGTCTTATGAATATTTTCGTTTTGTGAAAAAATTATTTTTGATGAATCATTCTTCATGTCACTAAAAATTTGTTAGAAATTTATATTATTTCTTACTACGGTATTTTCAACAATGACAACTAAATAATTGAGGTAAGAACTCCATAGTATTATACATAGTACCTAACTGCTGTTATACCTATCTAGTATCTTTAATTTTACTATACAGATTTTATCAAACATTATTCTTAAAATATCTAATAAGTGAACAATTTTCATATCTTTTTATCTGCAGTATAGGGGGTGATCAATCCATCATAAGACACTTGGATGGAATTTTTAAAGTAAAATAAATTTGAGTGTTTAAATTTTTGATTTCTGTCATGCCGTTGACAAGATATTCTACTTCTAAGTTTAGATCGGGGGAGAGTAGTGGTGGCACACAGTGTTTTAATAATGTACCACTGCTCTGTCCTTACCAAAACTTAAAAATGGAATATCTCGTCAACGAATTGATGAAAATCAAAAATTTCAGTACACATGGTTTTACAACTAAAAATAAATATTAAAAAAATTAATATTTTCTGAGATAATGAATGTCTTATGGTAGATAGACCATTATACTGTATACAGTTTAGAACATAGAATACACTGGAGATTTAAAAGGGCGGGTATCAATTAAACTGGAGTGGCGGGGGAATACTTTCAGGGCAGGGGGTCAATTAGACCAGCACCCAAAATAATTTAAACAAACTGACATAAATAAGTGCAAGTCAACATCTATCAATTTATATTGTTAATGAATATTAACAGTAATGCAATAAATTATATACATTTAATTTTATCACAGCACATTAAATAAAATATATTTATTTATAACTTAAATGTTTTATACTATTTTACCTGGTTAACAACTGGTTTAATAGTTGCTATTTTTAAAATGTCTTTTAACTGTCTAATATTGAAATTTGATACTCCAATTGATTTTGTAAGTCCATTTTGGACACACCGTTCCATAGCTTTCCATGTTTCCAAATATGAGATACCAGATCCTAATAACCGTCCTTCACTGTCTGTAGCATTTGGATCTTCCTAAAGTATATAAAAGTGATATTATGATTATTTAAATGTTAATTGTAATTTTCATATTCTCTATTTTGAAATGTATTTACACTTGTTGCAAAGGGCCAATGTATAAGGTATAAATCTATATAACTTAAACTTAAATCATTTAAAGTATTCTTCAATGCTTCTTCAACCAGTTCAGCTCTATGCTTATCATTCCAAACCTATGGAAATTGAAAAAAATAAATAAAAGTATAAGATTTTCAATAAATCATTTATATAGAAGGTGTCTACCATACATTATACTAAGTAAATATAAATAAATACAATAAAACCAATATATTCCTCATTTTATTCAGAATCTAAAATTATGTCAATCCACAAACAAGAGCTAACATCCAGACAATTAAATGTACTTTAGTACATCTTAAAATGAAAATACTTCCAAAAATGGAGGAAACAGCATCTGAACTTCTACATCATTATCTTAGTGAAGCATGGTAGAGATAAGTTAACCCACAAGATATTTTATTGAAGTTTTTAATAATTAAATTGTTTTTTTAATTTTTGGTTGTTAGATGAAAATTAAAAATGATTAATTAATAAGTATGAAAATAACTCATAAAATACCTATTAAAACGTACCTATATGATTCAATACAAATACAATATATTTCTATAATATGCAAAATTGATAATATTTGCATTTGTACATAGATCACTAGTTTTAAATTTGCAAATCACTTTACTACTGATCACCTGCCACATTAATGCCTTTTTTTGTTTTTTATTCATATTTGTTATAAATTATAATTATACTTAATATAATAACTATTTTCCGTACATTTATTTATACTTTCATTAAAATTAAAATTGAAACATATTTTGATATTTATGTACAGTTATAAATAAATAATACCTATTTATAGGTTTAAAAAAAATTAAATAAAAAACTAGGTGGTTTTTTGTGTAGGTATCTACAATAGGGTGACCTACTCGCTGCTCACGGTAGATTTTAATGTGGCCCTTACTTTAATTTCAAAATCATCAAATAATTATAAATAATATTATGAGAAAAAAGTGGATTTTAAGAAAATAAAACTACAAAATATTAAAAATTAAATAAATTTTAAATTACTTAATAGTACCTATATACTATTATATGAAAGTTTTTTTTTTATTGGGATCCGCCAGCGATAAATAAATAAATGTAACTAAAACAATAAAAATTATTATTTTTTAATTATAAATAAAATGTATATGGTCCACAATAACTTCTACTTTCATGGTGCGACCCAGTCTTTACAAGAGGTTGGACACTCTTGATTTATAGTTTTAGGATTGGACTGGCTTTCAAACCAACAAGGGCTGAACAATAATATTATAATTAATTTATGAAACCAGCCGCATTACCAATTTACAGACCCTGGTCTCAATTATGAGTAAATTTAATTAATTTTGTACTTTATAAAGCCTATGTCTATGTTTTTCAAATATAATTTGAATTTCAAACAATAAAATTATTATTTTTTTTTTTTTTGTATAATGTATTTTATGTGCATTATGATACCCATTTAACTTAACATATTTTTGAATTTCTACTGAACAAAAATGAAATTATTTATTTTTAACAATGACAAATATTGAATTAAATAGATTTTTCAATATAAATATTTGTTAAAATAAAAACATGTAACCAATACCTTGCTGGTAACAAATACTTCATCACGTTTAATAACTCCATCTGCAATTTTATCATTTATAGCCTTACCGACAGACTTTTCGTTTTGGTAAATGGTAGCACAATCAATATGACGATAACCTATATCAATTGCTTTTTTTACAGAGTCAACAATTGCAGATTGTTGAGATTCATTAAGTACAGCTGTTGCCTAGAAAAATGAATATCTATGTCATTCGCAATATAATATGTTTAATCATCAAACAATGAATACCAGTATTCATAAATGTTACCTGCCATGTCCCCAAACCTAAGATTGGGTATAATTGGCCGTTGTTAAAAGTTACCATCTTAACCAACTTAGATGCCATATTAGTAAATGTTGTTAATTGTAATGAAATAATAATTAGCAATACTGAAAAGACAAAAACACCAATAAATAATAGTCCTTTTTATATATTTAGGTGACGTGGAAAAAATCAAAATAATGTATTATTTTATGAGTTAACAAAACGAGTTGAAAAATGAGTTCAAAACGTCATAATATTTGTTGTGATAAGTGATAATTGATATATGCATAGGAAATGTAACTGCTACAATAATAGTAACCACAATAATATTATAATCGTACAGGGTCGTGGTCACGAGGGGGGGAAGGGTGATGAGGGTATCATATCCCGTCTCATCAACTGTTTTTTGTATGCATTTGTTTGAAGTTCTTTGATAGTTTTGGTTTTTTCCGAAAAAAAAAGATAGTGCATAGTTAGTTTTAATTTTAAGTCATGTTAATTATTATCATATACATAAGAAATATATTTAGTAGATACCACGGTTATCTACTGTTATCTATCGGTTATCTAGATAACCGTGGTAGATACTGTGGCGGGTTTCGCGCCACATTTCTTTTTCCCACTGCGCGTCGCTCTCGGCGGACGTCGGCCACGCCCCTCGCCGTCGGCGTTCAGCGGTCATCGTCCACAGCTCCGCTCATCACGATGTGACCATCTCTCCGCTCTTTCTCCGCACCGACGCCGTACGCGAAGTATTGTTTCCGACTCCGAATAATTATTATGTATTATGTATACTACTCTAGGGAAAATTGAAAAATGAGCTTTTTAAAGTAACTCTCCAATCCGATTTTCTTCAGAAAAATTGCTACACAAACGTAAAACATTTTTTTTTTTTAAATATGGGTTTGAACTCGTGAACCTTAGGATTAAACTATTCGAGTACGTCAAACATACTCTAGAAATGACAATGCAGAGTTATTTAACATAACATATACTATTCGCATAATATCAGAACTTCAAAAAACCAAAATTTCAAAATTAAGTCAGTCCGCTCAAGTTTGACTTCACCATCGCTCTTAAATCGACCATATATATATGTTCAATACAAAAAAATAAACAATTAGATCTGTTCCACTTAATTTTTTACTCAAAATATTTGATATTAAAATGTCATTATAAAAAAAATACTTCATTAAACTCAAATTTTCATTTTTGACTACAAAGTAAGACTTTTAATAAACCTCCTGTTAAATTTTCAAGCATTTCTGTTAAGTCTAACAATTTTATCACAGAGTACCTACCAAATAAAAATTGCGTACAAAACTCAAAATTAAAATGCCTATCAATAGCTCAAAAATGACTTCTATACATTTTACCAAGTCTACAAAAGGCAAATATAAGTTTTCTATCCAAATTTCAAGTTTCTACGAACACTATTAACTGAATTACATCAAATAACAAAATTTCAAAAATAAAAAAAAGCATTATTTTCGTAAATTTCCCGTTTTCTTACGTTTTTTCGCATTTTTCTCTTTTATTGGGAAAACTACCTAGAAAATTGAAAAATAATCTGCTTAATATACCACCCCAAGAAAATTTCCTTTTAGAAAAGAGTTTACATCGTATACATTGGAGTAAAATTTCTAGTAGAATTTTTGTACACATTATAAAAAAATAAACATCTTTGTTAAATCAATAAATTCTTCGCTACACTCAGAATCTAAAATAGGTATGTATATAATATATTTATATATTAACATAGTAATTTGCGATCTAATTTTTCATGGTAATTTGTACCTAACCAGATGGTTAGGTACTCATAAAATATCAATGTATATACCATTAACTAATAAGTAAATTTTGTAAATTTTTGTATATGATATATTTATATATGTATTCACAGTACCTATTATATATTTCATCTGTTATACAAGTTTATAAACTTACCTGCAAATTTGTTAAACACTTCCATTTACTCACAAAAAATTCCCAATATTATTTTTGAATATGCGTAGGTACTTATATACTTATATACTAATGCTTGAATCAGTTGGAACTACAGTTGTGGGTAGGCAATATTTATAATGAATAATGACACTATTGATACTCACAGTCAATATCTTTTTTTTTTTTTATGTACTATATCCTTTATTTTAATCTGGACTAATAATAATTATGTAGAGAGACATAATATAGTTATAGACTATAATAGTATTATAGTATATCAGTTGATATAGATTATAATTAAAATAAATTATAGCAATTGATTTAAAAATTATTACTAATTTTATATTACAATGATTCATATAATTACCCACTTATTATAGACTATTTAAATAGCAACAAAACAAAAAAATATAAATACAAGGATATTTCCTTAAATATTATAATGATTACTTGTGTCTTGTGTAGCAATGTATAATCTGTGATTTATTTTTACTAAACAGTTAACATCATTAATTACTATGTAGGTTACCTACCTATTATTTACATTTAATACCTACCAATTAACATATCATTTCCTGATTGCCAGTTTCTATATTTCATTTTATTTGTCTAAGTAAATAATAAAGCAAATAGATAAAAATAAAGGTACCTAAACCTACTGTTAAATCAACCTAGTAAATAAAAAAGTTGAACTCGGTATAAAATAATTAAGTATCTGTTTGGCTATTTTAGACAAATAGGTACCTATATCTGTCTTCTAACTATATATTTAAAAACCAATGTATGTCTTTTTACTTTATGTATGTCTTTTTTTATACTTAATGTATTTCACCATCACAGATAATACATAATGTACATAATATAATGTATTAGCCAGTGGCAGATCATGGTAGTTTGATAAAATTTCTTTTTGGGGCTGTCACCCTAACTATTAATAAGTGGATACGTAAATATGTGATTTCATACATCTGTAAGTGAAATACATCAATACATGTATGTATATATTATAAATATGTATACAATTATGTAGATATATGCATGCACAAATGTCTACTTCAAAAAAAAATCTCAACTGATTCGTATGAATGGTGTAGTAATTAAAGTTAATTATTTTTATTTATATAATATACATAAATAACTAAAATATCAACCTATTATTATTTTCATCAGTTTTTCTACTGACATTTAAAATTTGATTATGGATATTTGTACTATAACAGTGTAACTGTATAACTAGAACAGTGTAGGTACCTATAGACATTAAACAATGATTTAAGTATGTGCATACTTTGATGATCTAATAATCATTAGGTACAGGTGTAATATAAATTAAATTTAAATACGTATACAGTACCTATACAACAAATTATGATTTTTGATATGTCATTTTAGTTATTATTTTTTTGTTAATTTGAGTCTTACATATATTATTATTATTTTCCTTTGACGATATCTTTCCAAAACTAGTCATAAAACATTTAGAAATAATAATACTCCCATTCCATTATTATTTTAAGTAATATAATATTAAAGATTAAAGTTCAATCATTAAATTAAATTAATATTTCTGTATTTATTTCAGCTATAATTATAACAAATTATGTATTTTGATAAAGGTTTTAATTATATGTGCATAAAAAATTAACTTTTGAATTGTATAAAATACAATTTTATTAGATTATAACTTAGAATTGAATTTAAATGTTAAATCTATTAGGTAATTTTAAAATATGGTTTGGTAAAACATTTCTTAAAAACATTGGGAAATTAGAATGTATAAAATTATTTAATTTAGATCTCTAAACTCTTGTTAAAGGATTCTGAGCAAAGTTCTATTAAATGTATTTGAAATTCTGTTATTTTTACAAATACAAATTTGAAATTTTATATTCTCATAAAAAAGTTATTATATCACTCGACTTTAACCAAGTACAACTTATGATGAACCTTGAATAAAATGTTAGAGCATTTCTGCTAAACAAAAACAATTTTGTCCATATAAACCAAATTACAACAAAATTGAAAATAATTAAATTATTATTGCTATTTTTCTCAATTATTAAAAAAACCACAAAGTTAATTTATTAAGGTAAAATGTATCTATTTACACATCGTAACTTTTTAGACAAAATTTTCTTTTAGAAAAAATGCTAATGTTCTGTTCAATATTTTTTAAGTTTCCTTTTGGTAATAATTTCTAGAGCCTTTTATAATATATATATTTTTTAAAAAATAAAAATTAAAACATTGTTTTTTTACAAAAGCTATCTTATACAATTTTTTAAACAAAATTTTGGCGTTGCAAATGTTGAGTCATTTATTGTCTAAAAATGTTTGAATTAATGATAATTTAAAGTTTAAACCATTTTCATTGCAACTACTATATACTATAGACCAATTCACTATTTTTCCAAAAAAATAATTTTTTTATAATTATTAATGGCTGTCTTAGATTTTGTAAGTTTTTAAAAAAAAAATTTAAAATAGATGAATTTTAAAAGAAAAAAAATAATGAACAAAATCAGATCTTTGTGGGACACTCTGTATATATTCAATATTTATTAATTTTAAAAACTTTTATTATGAACTTGAAATTAAACGCTAAAAATTGTACATTAGTCTAATGGAATGTTTTAAGATATGAATTGTGTACTTTAGAACCTTCTTACCGAAACAAAATAGTTGCAACTATTTAAAATCAACAGTAATTATACTTTTATTATCCATGTTTTATTTATTTTTAATAATATTTGTTATAAATATTACTATTAAAAGTTTTGGTATTTATGTCATTATTTGTTTCTGCGGTTCAATATTTATTTAATATTATAATGTTGAAATGTATTAACAAATTACAATAATACCAAAACCAAAATCTAAAATATCCAAATCGGCATATACATTTTGATCTTACCTATGATAAAATAGTGTTATTTGATAGTAGATAGATAGATTTATATAGAATAGGTTTATTAGAAATTACATCTAAGAGTAAATCATAAGTATGATAATTTAAATTATGATGTCAGCAGAATATTCCATCCAAAAAACATAAGGAAAAATATATTTTTAAAATCAAGTTATATTTTTTTAAGTTTTATTGAATAATAATATGAATATTATAAATGTATGAAACCACAATTAACTGGAAAAGAAAACGAATACGATATGCATGGTTTTAAATATTTTGAATTAATATTCATCATGGAATGGATAGTCCTTGAAATGACTGTTCCTGAAAACAAAACATAGGACATAATAAAACATTTTAAAATTAAATAGTTATTTTTAAAATTAACATTAAATACAACATACTCGTTTAAATGAAGAACACGACCATTACAATCAAATGAATCAATATCTTCTATATCTCCTTGTTCCAATGTTAAGTCCCATATATCAAAGTTTGATTCAATACGACTTTTAGTAACAGATTTTGGAATGACTATATTTCCCCTTTGTATTTGATATCTAATCAAAACTTGAGCAGCAGTTTTATTATATTTTTTTGCAATAGCTACAATTTTTGGGTCATCCAAAATAGATGGATCTTCAGGTTTAGCCCAAGGTCTGTCAGGTGATCCCAAAGGACTATAAGCAGTTAATACAATATTATGTTGTTTGGAAAACTCAATTAATTTTTTTTGATTCAGATATGGATGACACTCAACCTAAATATAAACAAATACAACGCATACTCATTTAATTTTAGCTAATGATATGTTCTAACTAATGACAGTTAATAATGAATTTGTACTTGATTGGTAACTGGCTTCACTGTAGCCACATTCAATATATCTTCTGTTTGTTTTTTGCTGAAGTTTGATATGCCAATTGATTTAATCAGACCTTTTTCGACCAGTTTCTCCATTGCTTTCCATGTTTCTGTATAAGAACCACTTCCTTCGAATATTAAATTGTTTCCTTTTTCAGGGTCTTTCGGAAACAATTCATCATCTAATTTACCTTCCTAATATCAGAAATACAGAATTAAGAAATTAAATATTTTACTAGATATTTTGAAAAAATATATATATTTCAATTTTTAACATACTTTATAGGCCATGGGCCAGTGAATTAAATATAAATCCAAATAATCAATTTGCAAATCGGATAAAGTTTTTTTAAGGACAGTTTCAACATAATCAGGTTGATGGAAAGTATTCCATAGCTAAAAATATTAAAAGGTATTATTAATATTATTAAGGTCTTATTAATTTATATAAATGTGTACGAATTCTTACTTTACTAGTTATGAATAAATCTTCACGTTTAACAACACCTTCATCAAGTTTTTGCTTGATAGCTTTTCCAACTTCTTTTTCATTTGAATAAACCATGGCACAGTCGATATGTCTATAACCAACATCTATAGCGACTGAGACTGCTTCTTCGACTTCACCAGGTTTTGACTATAAATATCAATAGATAATTATAATTAATTTTGATGCATAATCTATATATTTACATACATATATATATATATATAATAGAATATAACAAAGGAACGAATAATATTATTTTATAATTGTAAATTCTAATTCTATAAACTCTACTTAATGGATTGGGGTTTGGCTTTAAGCCCTTATCCGTTTTCTGTTGTAATAGATTAAGTTATGAAAGAAATACAAGAGGAGGTACTATGGTGCATGTTTGCAAATGATATAGTTTTTAAATTATATAAACAATTATAAATAGGTATGTCAATAGAGATAAACAATTGTTTAGATGTACCTATTTATATAAGCCATTTTATTGAATAATAATGCTTTTACCTTCCAAGTGCCAAGTCCTAAGATTGGGCATTTCTGGCCATTATTGAATGTAATGAATTGATTTTTTGAAGCCATTGTTGTTTAAAATTTACCAATTTACTTTTAACAATTAGGTAATAAAATGCAATCCTCACAGGAAGAAAATGCAAAATGAACAGCAGTCCGTAGCAGTCTGATAATTGATACCTATTAAAAAAGTAAAAATAAATGTTGTAACTTAATAACAAGAAGAATTCATGTTAAAACTTATTATTATGATGAAATATTATCCTATTAGTTTACCGGTTTATCGTTCAATCGTGCCTGTTTGTTCGTTCTGTGCTACACAGTTTTTAGTCGGATAATTTCCTTTCAGTATTCGCTGATTATGATAGTAGATGTGGAAGTGGAAGTATAAAATTCTTTATTGTCTACGGAGGAACTGGTAGGCGGTAGCCGGTAGGTCGTATTATAGAATCAGAGTTGCCAACGTTAAAATTAAGTATTGTTATTTTTGTCTATTACATCATTCTCACGGTAGTGTATCAAGATTATTCACTTCGACCATATTATACACTTGTATAAATAAATTGGTGTGTATGGAATATTATTCAAATATTTGCTATTTGCCTTTTGCAATTGCAATGTTTATAATCAATATTACCATTTCGGATTCCGAAATCAGATTTTTTTTTTTTCTAGTTTGTGTATTGAGATATTTCATTCATTTTTGACTTTTGTATTGATTGCGAAAAACCAATAGAAAACGTAGGAAAAACAGGAAAATGTACGCAGTAAAGATTTCCGTTTTTTTTTTTGTTGTAATTCAATTGAAAATAATCGTAGAGACTTAACATTTAATAGAATACTTATATTAATTATTTCTGAACTAAGTAATTTTCGAGTTATTTTTTAGCCATTTAAAATTGTCGAGGTTTTTCAACTTTTATTCAGGATTTATATGGATAAAATTATTTTGGCGCACTAAAATTGCTCGAATTTCACTCGAGTGATTTTTTTTTTTTATCAATTTCTCCACAACCCATCATATATGATTGGTATCTATTTATTATAATAATTTAACAAGTAAGAAAAACTATATTATACATAGGTACAATCTTCAAGTGTCCACGATGTTTAAGTTTTTATATTACCTAAATATCATTAAAATACCTAAGTACTTGTTAAATATCTGTCGTTGTTATTTATAAGTGCATACAATTTACCTACATGTAATAATATTATATACAATATATTATTATACATTTGTAGGAACTTCAAGATAATACCCACAATAAAAATATTTTTGTGTAGTCGCAATGTTTTTAATTTTTTCTAATATTTGTGAAGAAAAAGTCGGGTTGGGCAGACAGACTGCTGAGTGCAGACACAATATACTTCAACAGGTTTAACGTTTATAGTTAATACTTAACTCCTTGAGGTGCTATCTTGTTCATCTACAGTGCATTCTATATTAGCCATTATATTTATATTAGTCTCATACTCTTGTGTTCAAGGACGCGTGTATAGTGTTAGTGTTTATAACTTTTAATGTAGTAGTACGTATGGTTGTATACAATTATTTAAATGTAAATTGTAATACAAGTCAATTTCGTTTTTAAAAATTATTATTAAAAAAGGCAAATTTAAAATATTAAATATTTGGGAGACTATTTCATAATATATAGTGGATATTAGTGAGAGTATATGGATGCACTGATAGGTACTGTTTGTTTTTGGATTTAAACATTCATAGATTTGGTACAATAAATTATAATTATTAAAGTATGTTAAATAAATAACAATAGACAGTTACATAATATGTTTATACTAGACGCAGAGAAGTGTTAAAACGTATTAGGTAGATATTACCTATTTCTATATTTTTATCATTAATTATCTTTGTATAGTATACATTGTATTCATATTAAAATTACAAACTACTTATATGTTTCTAAAATGTCGAATAAAACATCGATAAATTTCACTTTTCATCACTATCCAATTAATTTAGTATTCATCACTGAATGGATAATCTTTAAAATTTATGTTCCTAAAAATATAGATACATATTAGAAAAAAATCTATGGCAAATATAATAAAATAATAATATAGGTACCCTTTCATGTGTACAAATCGTCCATTGCAATCGAGAGTATCAATTTGATCTAAATCCTCTTGCTCGAGTTCAAAGTCCCATACATCAAAATTCGACTCTATGCGTTCTTTAGTCACAGATTTCGGAATGACCATTACACCTCTTTGAATTTGATATTTGATTAATATTTGGGCAGGACTTTTACTATATTTGTCCGCTATTTCAATAATTTTCGGGTCTTCGAGAAGAGAAGGATCTTCAGGTTTTTTCCAAGGATTGTCTGGACTTCCGAGTGGACTATATGCCGTCAATATAATATCATTTTCGTCGCAAAATTCTTTTAATTTTTTTTGGTTTAAATATGGATGGCATTCGACCTATAAAATATATTAAAACATGTCTTATGTTAATTTTGCTCTTTATTTTCATCATTGCCTATCATGCAAACATACACCTACTTTTATATATAGCTTTCATTCACATTTCCCTCTTTTATTATCTTTTTTTTACCTATTTAATTTACACATTTCCCTTTATAACACTTAGCTATGTTTCTTTTACCAACAGCCTGTCTCATTTCTGACTTCCATATGTGCATTTACCTTATCTATTTTTCTCAACATGCGTATTGCTCGTATAATCTGAATAATCTATTCTCAATGTTTTTCTCACTTTTCTACTAAACCTACCCGGTAGTTCTAGAATAGACAGTTGATTATATATTTCCAAATATTTGTCTGCAATGAAATATTAATTTATTTTGTAGGTAATATTAAAAATAGGATATTATTATAAATTTTAAGAGACCATGTGCCCACTTGTGTCATTTAAAACGTGTTTAGTGGTTTATTCTGAAATAAATCATTTTACAGTTCATACTTGATTGTTAACTGGCTTTACAGTAGCTACACCTAATATATCTTCTATTTGTCTTTTGTTAAAGTTTGATACACCAATTGATTTAGTAAGACCATTTTCTACTAATTTTTCCATTGCTTTCCATGTTTCAATGTATGAACCATCACCTTCAATTGTAGCACCATCATCGTCTTTTGGAATGAAATCACTGTATAATCCACCCTCCTAATAATATTTATAATAAATAGATATAGTATATTATATACTAGTATACTATTGCATATTACAAAATAGGAAGGTATCTAATATTATAATTCAAAATAGCAATTTAAATATTAATATTAGTACATTACCTTAAAAGCCATAGGCCAATGAATCAAGTATAAATCCAAATAATCGACTTTTAAATCTGATAAAGTTTTTTTTATCACCGTTTCAACAATATCAGGTTGATGAAATATATTCCATAACTGAAAGCAAATATAAGTTATTTAGATATGTACCTAGTAATCTACATATTTTGATATTTATCAAAATCAAAATAATTAAATTGTGTAATTACTTTACTCGTAATGTACAAATCTTCACGAACTACAACACCTTCGTCTATCTTATGATTAATAGCTTTTCCTATTTCTTGTTCATTCCCATAAAACATTGCGCAATCAAAATGTCTGTAGCCTGTATCAATCGCGATTTTCACAGCTTCTTCTACTTCGCCAGGTTTAGACTGAGTATATCAATAATAATAGTTAGATTTGTTGCAAATGATGACAATAAATATAGTACTTTAAAAATATAAATTTTTAAATTTTTTATGGTAAAAGTATTTAGCTTTATAGATTATACATTTTAAATTATCAAAAAATAAATAAATATTATTGTAAAATTGAAATATTTTTTTATTCTGCTTAAATGATATTGCGAGTATGATAAATAATAATAACGAAAAATGTATTAATTTGATGTTTTTTCCTGTCTGTAAATAATTTTTTTATCAGAAATATTGCTCCAGTCATCAAGTTTTACATATTTTAGCAAAAGTTCTAGTTGGTGCGTTAGGGAAGTTATTTGTAGTATAATTAGTTACTGGAAAAACAGGAAAATATACACGATAAAGATTTTCGTTATTTTTGATTTTGTATTTTTGTTGTATTGGTAATTCAGTTAAAAATAATAACTGAGCTATTTACAGCCATATGAAATTTATTAGTTTTTGTTACGTACTATGAAGGTAGAATTGGTTTCACCCAGTAAAAATGTTCGGAAATTGAATTAATTATTTCATAACTAGTGGTAATTAGTTTTAAAAAAAAATAAAAATTGAGCGTAATGTTGTTGTTTTTTTGATGAATTCAAATTTTAATAAAAATCATAAAAATAACTATTTCTAAATATATTTAATCCAACTTCGATCAGAATCGTTTTTTTGCTAGCAATGATAGATTGTTGCATATAGATAGAAATATAAATTAAATTTATTTATTTTATTCTTCTTTTCCAACTTCCCACCCACAGGCTGTAATAGTGGTATACTCGTCAGCATTATCAGCTCTTTTATATAATGTATTTAAAATTAATTGGTAATCTACTCATTCGTATGCCTACACGCTGTGCAGTGTGTAGGTGCATATTATGTGTTTGAGGTTTAAGTGTAGTTCATCATTATTAATATGACAGTTTTAGTTGGGCATTTGATTGCCGAACTTTATAATCTAGGTATCATAATTAAATTTACCCTTGGTATATCATTCACCTTAATGAATCTGTATGTATTGTATACGAATAATAATAATTAATCTGCATTTTCGCTGTCTTTCTAATATTACTTATCAGTTATCATAAAATAAATATGTTTTAATTTAAAATATTGTAACTATTAATGATTTTTAAACTCATTTTAAATATTAAACAAGTCCTAAGAACTTACTAGGTATGACAAACATACTACGTATGTTTGTTTAAAAACTAACTCAGTGCAGTATTATTATATGCCTATCTTATATTATTATATTATTACCTTCCATGTTCCAAATCCTAAAATTGGATATTTCTGACCATTATTAAATGCAACGAATTGATTATTTGATGCCATTTTTGCAAATGTTTTCTTTTTTACTGTTAGATAAAAAAAACCGGAATATTTTACGGCATTAACCGAGTCTAATGTTGAAATGAGGTTTTATTGCCTTTGGTTATAGTAGTATAGGTAGAAGTATAGCTTAGAATTTGAATAATGATAAATTGAATAATATGAAATGAATACCGAATAATGGATGAATACGAAATGTAGGCTTCTTTTCTGTTGTTATTATTATTTTACAATAAGGGTAGATGTAGGTACTAAAGTTGTATTCAAATTTCATTGTTACCAATATTAAAAAAGGTTATAAAACAAAAAAAAATTGACTTTTGGTTACAATGATTGTCTGTGTTTATTTATATACACCGACAATATATTGTGTGAACATTTTTGTGTTCTCTTAAAATTATTTTTCTCTTAAATAAATGTACGCATCGTCTAAGTAAAAATTGATCTCGAGCTTTGTTTAAAACTAAAATAATACCTATAGTTTAAATTTGAATTATTAAAATAATTGATTACATTAAGACATTTTTATAATTTTGTCTAAATCTTACTATAGCTATTCTTTTGGTTTTTAAAATAATAATAAAATACCCGTAATCCGCTAAATTCCTATATCCCTCTAACTGTCTTCTCACCATTAATAATATATAATAGCATGACACATTTATTTGCAGAGTTGTATAACTTGTTCTATGTTGTTTTTATGTTAGTAACCTAATCCTTTAGTAACGATGAGGAGTTGACTAAAAAAGCAGTTTAGTAGTTATTGAGATTTTTGTTAACATACAAACAATATAAATGTTTACTGTATGTAATCTTTAGCAAGTTAAGATCAAATATGAATTTTAGTAAATAAGTACACGTGATAAATTATATAAAACAGTTGTATGTTTATTTAAAACATTTAAATACATTTTGAAATTTAAATTTATAAATAATGAATATGTAATTCAATAATATACAAGTAATACAATTTTATAAATTATACATTATACAAGTGTAGGTAATTTTCTGATATTTGTAAAGTAGTACCTATCTATTTAAAATTAAAAATTGCTTATATATAATATTTTACAACTCGTAAGTATAGACTACTTATATGTCTAATAGTCTTGGTTAAACAATTCGATAAATAAATAGTTAATATTGTTTGCCATTAAATACTTATATCACGAGAGAATCTATTCATAATTCATAACTATGTATATAAATATAGGTATGTATAGATATATTATTTACAAAATGGTTTAAAATATTTGTAATAGGTAGTTTTAATCTGTTTAGTTATGACTATTATATTAATACCGAAATTTAAAAATAAAAAGTACTATACTATAATAATCAATAATCATATTGAATTCTGTGGTATCTGTGGGTGTTTAAAATGTCTGCATACAGTTTTGGCATAAACGTAACAATTAATTATATTGTTTTAAGTTTTATATAAATAATCGTTTAGTATTCTAAACATGTTCACTTCATATTATCACTAATCCATTCTAAATATCTAGTGACCCTGGTGTAAACTCCTGGATATCCGGGTTCACCGCATTTGTTGCCAAATGATACGATTCCAATTTGAATCCATCTGCCATCTTTTTTCAACATTAATGGCCCTCCCGAATCTCCCTGAAATAATATTATATTTTGAATAATATACACAGTTAAAATATTTGTTGGTAATATTAACTATTAGTTACCTGACACGCGTCTTTTCCTCCTTCTTTTAATCCAGCACAAATGAAATCATCATTAATTGGTTGGAAGTAAGTTCTGTCGCAATCGTTGTTATTCCACACAGGAAGATCGACCTGTCTTTGTACAGTACTTTCTTTACCACCTATTTAATTATTATGTATTATATTACTATATTGTATGCACTATATATTTTTTTCATTTAAGCTCTAAAATAAATTTACCGTAGTATGTAGTGCCCCATCCAACGACTGTCGGACTTTGACCAACAAACGTTTCTGATTTTGAACTTTTAGGTGGTAAACACAAAGGTATTACATACTTGCTTCTTTTTACAGGTCTATCCAATACAAGTACTGCGATATCATTATAGAAACCCACTCTGGAAAACTTGTGGTGTCCACGAACATCGACGACATGATATGTTTCAGGAGAAGAAGGTTCATCATCCCTACGTAAGTCTACATCACCTAATCTTACTGTAAATTGTCTAGAATTAAAACTGAAAAATACCAATTAAGTATAAAATTGGAAAAAACGTATTATATTATTCATTATTTAATGAACTTACGGCATTTGTCTATTGTCCCTTGTGCAATGAGCGGCTGTGAGAATGTGTCTGGGCCCGATTAATGAGCCACCACACCAAAATTCGGTTCTTCTGGGTCCGTGTAAGAAAATAGCAGCCATCCATGGCCATCGACCCGGCAATGCCTCGTCTCCCCCGACAACTCGGAATTTGGGTACTTCTGGACGTCCACAGTCTAATTTTATAAATATATGTACATGAAATATCCATTTTAAGTGAATTTCATGTAAACACAGAACTAGAGTTGTTTACGGAACTTAATTTGTATGTATTTAAATTCAGATCCATTAATAATACACAAATAAAATAAAAAAAGAAGGGGAACTTGATTATGTTATTTATCTATTCTTTGCCCACGGAAGTAAGTTTTGTATATAAAAATATCTACTGATTGACTAACATTTAAATTTGAAAAATTATACGCCACCATAGGTATATATATATATAGTTTAGTTTTAAAAACAAACACAATAGTATTTTAACAATTATTATTATCAAATAAATATTTAATGTTAATTTAGTAGGTTTAACTACTTTACTTAAATTAATAATTAACTATAATAATTATATTTGGAATTATTCGATGTTTGAAAAATACGCCCGATAAATGATAACAATCACATTTACTCCAACATGACATAATAATTACAAAATCTAAATATACTACTACAGATTTTAAATGCGATTCAGCAGGAAATTTTTTCTCGTTTAAATAAATTTAATATTTTTTTTTTTAAGTTTAGAAATAACGTTATATTAGTTTATTATAGCATAATATACATTTATGACATATAGTACACTTACATATTACTTTAGATAAAAATTATTTATTACTTATATACCTTCTTCAATTGTATTAGAAGACACTAAGATAGTCGTTGGTTTAGTTGCTAATTGTATTGGAGCTTTTGTGGACATCGTGATAATATTGGCAGGTGGTGGTCGAGTGGCTGGTGGTCGAGTTATTATCGGCGGTCTAGTGACTGTAGCTTGTGTTACGACATATTCAGGTTTCTGAGGTTTTTCAGGTGCTAATCTAAAAAAAAAAAAAAAAATTAAATTAATTAAAATTGTGGAAAAACTATTTATTTTTATAAATGTAGTGCAGATTTAAATGAAAAAATCTAATTAGTAATACCTACAAAAACTTTAAATTCAATTAATTATTTCTTATTTTGATAAACTCATTTATTATATTATAGGTATACATATTCTACAATATCAGAAAATTATCCAATATTTTTCATTCGAATAATTTTATTCATTATAAATCAATAAAGGTATTTAATGCCTATACTACTTAAACAATAATAATAAATTTAATTTAAGTTTTTCTGTATTTTAGAAATATTTTTTAATAGGTTCAACAAATTTCTATAAATAGAGATTCAACGATCTATCAATGCACTTTCATAAACGGTTGATTGTTTGAAACGAGGAAAAGTACACGCATTTTTATTTTATAAATTAGTGTAATATAATTTTTTTATTTTGAAAAATGATTCAACCTGATAGGTATAGAGTAAAGAAATGGATCCCGTTTTTTTTCTTTAACATATTGTGCATCAAAAGACGATAATAAGTGTATTATTAAAATATAATTTTATACACACGCATACACATATTGTTAATTTGCATTAAAATTTGTAAACTCTACGTCTATAATATAGACTCTATATGTAGGTAGTTATAGATACAGACTTTTATTTTTTAATATTGTGTCAAAATGTTAAAATAATCAAAACTCATTAATTTGTATACATTTAAAGATGTGGATAGATAGCCTAGGCTAAGAGCATCCTATTTCTTTTTAAATAAAAAAAAAAAATAAGCTCGGAATTCAAAATATTATAAGATGTTATACGATTATATGTTATAAGTAGATGTAACATTAAAATATACATTACAATTTAAAATAAACACAATATGAACAATATGATATGATACTTGAAAACTTATAAATTATAACAATTTACATGCAGGTAATAATTTAAATACACATTAAGTATTTTATAATTCAAAATTGTATAGTACCTAATATAAAATGCACGTATATATTATAATTATTTATAATAGTTAAATATGTATTATAATAAAAATTATAATACTTTATTAAATTACCTAATTGACAAAATGACAAATAATTTAATAATAATTTAACATAGTACCTATATAAACAAAACAAAAGTACCTAGAAAGTTTTATTTTTTAAAATACCTAGTGAAAGAAAAGTAGACGAAATTAAAATTGCTTCATATCGTTGAACTATTTTTAGATACATTTTTAACATTTTAAAGAACTATAATTCAAATAATATTTAATATCATTAATATAGGTACGGTAGCTCTAAAAAAAAAAAAAAAATGATTGATTTGACCACAGATTTGCGTTTTTGTAAAAATCAATTGTACATCAGGTATAATAATAATGACTGCACAAAACGCCGAAACACAATTATTACCACACTCAGTTTCACTCAATTGAGTTCATTTTTGTTTAAGTTATAATTATTAATTTATAACGTTGGGACGTTTTTTTTTCTTTAAATTCATCACGTACCAAGTTCCGTAATTTATTAAATTACGAAAAACAGCTGTCCGTCAACTTGCCAACATTATCTAATAGTGAAAATGAAAATTGCGTTCAAGTCAATATAATAACTGCGGAAGCGTTTTCAACAATGAAGGGTTTCACTTACATATTATTATTGTTAGTTATCCATTACCCATTTACCTGTACACATATTATCAACTGGAGGGAGAGGGGGGTTACCTATTTCCTTATTTGTT